CTTTAAACATTTATAATTTCTTGGCCATTCCTTTACATGCAATGCACCTTTTCACCGTAAACAGTCTTATTATTTAAAATGTTTGTAGAAACTAACATGCGTCTTATACAGAGAAAATTCACACATGCAGTAAAGGTTATTAGTCAGAATTTAGAGGAGAAAAGAAAGTAGAATCGTCCCGTCCTGGAGATTGTGAGATATTTGGTTTCGGTTTTCGATGTCTGTTGATCTCTAGCCGCTTCGCTTCCCGCTTTGGATAAAAGGGGTCGCTCAGCGTAGATTCGTGTGGAAGAACTGGTGTTTTTGGCTATCGAAAAAAATCTCACCTTTATCTGTTTTCAGGGTATAAAAACTCGAAAGTTTATTAAATTTACTCAAACAACGATTGGTTAAATTTTCTCTTTTTCTATCTTGTGGTTTGTTTTTATCTACGTCTGCAAATTTCTAATCTTTTAAACTTTATTTTCGATGGCTTTTTCCTGGAGCTTGCCTTACTGATATATATATATATATATATTAACTCTATTTTTATGTCTTTTTGACATATCTATGAAACCTTTACACGCTAGCTAGTTAAATAATCATATTTGAACATGCACAATCCCATTCGAAATGTGGCCAAAATTTTCGACAAAAGTTATGTCTACAGAAAAATGGCAGACGTCACATAACATAAAGGTGTACCAATGTCTTTAAAATGATTAAAATTCATTCGTTCGGAAGTTACTCTTTTATTAATGTATCAGTATATTCTCAAAAATGAAACCACTGACATCTAATCTTGAAATTGTACGAAAAGCAAGTGAAATTTAACAAAAGGACAGAACATCATTTTTTTAATCGTGACGATAAACTTAAATTATTAAATCCATCAGGGAAATGACAAGTGGTGCAAAAAAAAACAAAAACAAAAAAAACAAAACAAAAAAAAAAAAACAAAACAAAAAAGAAAACAAAAAAGAAAACAAAAAAGAAAACAAGAAAACTATGAACAAATGTCTGTTGTTTTAGCATTTTTAATCATCATAATAGAATCGTATTTTCTAAGATTACTTAGACAAAAAAGAAAGTAAACGCTATATTTGAGTTCAGGTTTCATTCATTTTTATTTATTCTACATTTTTGTTCAGTATATTTATTTCTTGTTTATTCATGAATTCATTTTGCTTGTTACCGCTATTCGGCTAAGAGGAATCATTATATACAGCAGCAGTTTTTATTCTATTAAATAGATATTTGTTGGAAAATGTCAAACCCATATTTCGTTGGCACTCCAGGAGAATCGAATTCATTGCTGATGGTTGCTTAAATAAATTTACGAGAACTGCTTCACTGCGGCGAGCGTTCTGTTTTCATGTATTGAATAAAACAGACAACAAAGCGATACTTTTGACGCAGAAAAGTGTCTGCCATTACACAAAAAAAGTCAGTTGAAAATTGATAAACATTTGTATTTGATTTTCTGTAAACAAAAATATAAGGATTTTTTACTCCTTCATTTTGTATGATTCCATAAGGAAAATGAGAAAAATGTAAGAAAACCTATCCAAAAACAAACATGACATTTCTAAGGAATGTAGTCATGCTGTCGCTCCACGCTTTTCATAAAGTTACATTGGTCATAATTTTGTATTTCATGTATTCTCATGTCTATTTTTGCAATGGTATTTTGGGATTTTCCCGGCTGTGCGTGTGTGTGTGCGTGAGAAAAGTTGGGCTTCCCAGTAATTCAAGCTGCTTGAGCGTGTATCGTCTGTTTTTCTGAGAGAAAACAGACGATGCGTTGGGCTCTTGCTTAAACTTTTGAATTTCAAAAATATTTTTGATACATTTCGATTTGTGGGAAAATAGTTGCGTTTGTTTTTCATTTGGAATCAATCAAACGGTTTCCCTCGAAATTCTAAGAAGTAAATTTGGAGTCTTTCTGGATGAATAAATAGAGGGCCAGTGATTGAATTTGAGTTGAACTTTGATGACCACCAGACGAGAATTGAAAGGAACATCAAAGTCGCTCCCGCTTCAATGAAAATTCTTCAATTGGTGTGATTGTTCTGTAACGAGGTGATGTGTAGTTGTTGTATTAATGTAAGTTATCCTGTTGTTATATGTATTATTAGGAGTTTACTTTTTTTACTGTTTTTGAAATGAATAAAACGTACGACAATAACATAACACAATAAGACTTTGAGACACGTGTTGACATTAATGACAAGGATGTGTATTTTTCTTTTCGTGATGTTAATTACAATATTGGTATTGCGTATGATAAAAATGTTCTCAGTGTTATTGCCCCTTTTGTTTCTTTAAAGATTTGTGCTTGTTTTTCCTTGTTTCGAGAATTTCGTTGTTAAGGGATGCGTTTGAGACCGTTAACTGTGGATTTTTACGGAGCGAAGAAGATACATATGTGTTACTTTTTACTACTGCTACTCTATTCTACTAACCCTAATATACTGTCCTTGCTTGTGGTGGAAGTGTCGTTTTTTATAATGATGAAGTTTCAGATTTTAGAATGATGAAACCTGGCCACCAGTGATGATATATTATGATCATATCATGACTGGTGGCCAGGTTGTTTTAGATGATAAAATTTTATCTTCATTTCCAGGATGATATAATATCTTTATCAAACAATCATCACTGGTGGAAAAGTTGTTTTTAGAATGATGACATATCATCATCATCCTGGATCATAACAGTTCTATTTTTCGCTGTTACCACGGACCCTGCTTCGAAATTGTAACTATTCTTAGAAAACTATTCAAAGAACTACTGTCTCCTTTATTCATTTTATCTTTATGTTGTAAAGCAGCATTGTAATTTTTATTGTAAAAAGGCATATATCATTTGCATTGATTATTTTTACATACATGTTATTGACCATCATTTGGCACATAAAGTACTTAATTTGTGTAATTCTTTCATTTTGTGTGTTAACAATAAATTTATCGTCTGTTTTTTAAACTCAGTTCGTGTCCTCTGTCTTTGTCTTATAAATTAAATGTTACCTCAAACATTTGTTTGAACTATTTTTTGTAGGTTCTTATTTTTACAAAACAAAAAATCCTCTACCGGTTAACAGAACTCTTCCTTTGACTAGAAGTTTCGAAAAGAGATTTCTCCGCTTGTTCCCACATGGTACGAGAAATCTCATTTTCCAGCTGGCAGGACTGCTACGTGTCTGTGAGTGGTTCTTCGAAGTGGCCTTGAAGGTAGCGGCCGCCGAAAAGTAAAGTGGAAAAAGAGACCGAATAGTGCTCAAACAGCGTTTTTATGAGTTCTAGGACATCCTCTTGTTCCCTGCTGTCGATGCTACTGCTGAATAGAGCAAAGTAAGGAAGCCCACACATGCCGCAGTAGCCAACAAGCCAGATAGTTATTATAGTTCCCGTTGCAAAATTTTAAACAAATGTTATGTTCTCGTATCTCAGCAACATGTAGACTTTATTTATCTTTAATTTAGTCGTTGATTTAACCTTGCAGTCATGGATATTCACGATAGAACTTATTCAAGTATACCACAACGTATGAAATTTATTTAAACATACATCAACGTATAAGCGGTTTAAGCATAAATCTACGGATTAGACTTATTCAAGCATATGTCTATGTATAGGTATTACTGAAACATACATTTACGTATAGTAAATATTCTCGTATAAATCAACGGATAGGACAAACAAACATCTACTGATATTACCTAGTGAAGTATACATCTAAGTATAGAACTTATTAAAGCATACATCGACGTATAGGATTTATTTAATCATACATCTACTGATAATACTTATTGAATCATATACCTGAGTATAGGATTTATTGAAGCATACATTGACGTATTAGTCTTATTCAAACATACCTCGATGTATAGGACTTATTCAAGCATACATCTACTGATGTTACCTATTGAAGCATACATCGAGGTATATGACTTATTGAACCATATATTTACTGATATTATTGAAGCATACATATATGTATAGGAATTATTGAAACATACATTTACGTATAGGACTTATTCTTGCATACATCGACGTATACAATTTATTGAATCATACATGGAACCAGAATAGCTTCATATTTCATTCATGAAGTTTGTTACCTCAATTTTCAAATAGATGACAGGATAATCTAACCTAGAGCTCCACATAAAAATTGTTACATGAATTGAAAATATGGATTTCCAATCATTAATATGGCAGCCATTCTCAGTATTTGATGATTTAATGTGTCACAGTAATCTGAAGGGGCGAAAACAGCGAATATTTTGCTAAAGATGTCTTTCAGAAACTAATCGAAATATTAAGACTGGTAAATTTATTCAGAAACATAGAAAAAAAACGTACTGAATTGCTATTCAATACCTAATCTCCTATATAGTAGTGAATGCTACGACTTTCCTCTCATATTAAAAATGGATTTAATGTGACAGAAATGTAGCTCTACAGGTTAATACTAAGAATACCATGTGAGTAACCAAGTCCTATTAAGAAAAATGAGAGCAAGTGTATACTTACAATTATAATGAGACAATTAAAATTTATGACATATACTGAGGAAAGAGAGCCTAGACAATCTAACACTCACAGGCAAAATAGGCAGGGGAAAACAACGTGTTACCAATTTAAAAAATTTTGTGTAGATGGAAAGCAAAACAACGGCAAAGAGTGATGCTAAGGGATTATAAGTCACGTAGAACAAGAACAGGAAGCTGTGGAGAGCTAAGATTGCTAACATCCTGTAATTACGTCGTTGTTTTTAGAAGCATATCAACCTCTACGGGCTATTTAATGCCGATATCTAAATATTTTGTACTCATTTTTTTTTAGATAATAATGGTTTTAGTGGTACAAGTCTTACTAATTAACCCATAGCTGGAGAGAGAAGTGGTGGATTCATACCTTTCCAAAAGATATTTACGCGTAAGTAAATATAACGAACCTGACTGGAATTGAAACTCGATTAAAAAATCGACCATTACACCACCCGCACATCCAAACTTACAGCACCTGATATTTCCAAGAGTCACACATCAAGGTACTGAGCAGGCTCGATTTTACTTAACAGCGGTGATCATACGTGAACCGGTGTTTCAACGTGATGTGGCCATAAGCCTGTCCTTAAAGGATTTTGTACATAAAAAAAGAAACATATAACCCAACTTGCATAATTTTAGATTGGTTTTTGAAATGGCAAATCATAGATTTTCAGAAAATGTATAGATTGCACGAGTTCTTTTTACTAATTCTGATTCCTTGTTAATTAATAAGAATGGCAAAATTTATTCTGAAGAAATTCGGGTTTCAAAATCTTCCAAGATTTGTTAACGTTTTGTTTGAAAAGTTATTTCTTACTTTAATTAAAATTAAGACAATAAAAACAGATTTTTCACTCATTAGATTTCTAATTGTTATCGCTTATTGAAAAGAAACAAAAAACTTTTTAGTCCTTTAATAATCTCTAACAACAGCGACTGCGAGGAACACCTGCTTTCGTCTTATCTTTCTTTTTTGGTAATTATCCGTATCAATTACCAAATGCCGATTGCTATCGGATTTATTGATGAGCTGACATAACATATATATATATATATATATATATATATATATATATATATATATATATATATATATGAGAGAGAGAGTAAATATCTACGTATGCTCCTTTATATACAAAGTGATAAGAAAGATATTACTTTTTTTATTTAACTGACATGTGAGAGCACTGACGATGGCTACAGGAGTAGTCGAAAATTTTGTCATTTTTGACGGTGAGATTTGAAACTTATCTCAGTTAATTATATATATATATATATATATATATATATATATATATATATATATATATTCAGTGTCGATTTATAACAAAAAATAATAGATAATTAATTATCGATTACAAAAAATTTAAAACAGCTAACTTTATCCTCAAAAATAACAACACACCTGCAAAATCAGAAATACAAAACACGAACATTATTTACGAGTTCAAATGATCAAACCAAACTCACAAATATCAGGTCATCCCATAAGTTCTGTCCGAATTTTAACTTTTTGTTAAAATGAACGAAATTTAAAGAGTATTTTATAATGTCTAATGGAGCTGAACATTATTTTTATGTTTAGATGCATTTAAACTGATCAAATTTTATTTCAGAGACCAATAAAATTAAATTTTGTTTGATTAAAACCTTGCTAACATGGAAGTACCCAAGAATCATTTGAGGCACATAATGCTTTATGAGTTCAAGAAAGGAAACTCAGCAGCCGAAGCGGCTAGAAACATTCACTCAATTAATGGAGAGGAATGTGTGAATGAAAGAACTTGCAGAAGATGGTTTGAAAAATTCAGAGGTGGAGTTGGAAAAGTTCCTAAACTTGGAAAATGGGTGCCTCATGAATTGCCTGAAAAAACCTCAAATCCCGAGTTGACATCTGCTTTTCTCTCCATTCTCGCCAACTTGTTTCACCTTTTTTGGATAGACTTATGACTGGCGACGAAAAATGGATCTTTTATCGAAATGTTAAGCGTCGTAGACAGTGGCTTGGTAAAGGGGAAGGACCCCAGCCACAGCCAAGAAGGGAACTTCATGAGCAAAAGGTTCTTCTTTTAATCTGGTGGGATCGCCAAGGAATAATCCACTTTGAATTCGTACCACCTAATGCAACAAATAATGCTCAAGTATACTGTCAGCAATTAGAGCGTTTGAACCAAACTTTGAGGAAAAAAAGACCTGCTCTAGTGAATCGATAAGGGGTGATGTTTCATCGGGACAATGCCCGACGCCACACAGCAAGAATCACGTCACAAAAGATCGAAGAACTTGTTTGGGAGAAAATTCCTTATCCACCTTATTCTCCCGATCTGGCTCCTTCAGACTACCATTTGTTTCGTAGCTTATAGAATCATTTGGAAGAAACAGCTTTTGTAACACGGGAAGAGGTTAAAACTGACATTTGTGAGTTCTTCGAATCAAAGCCAAAAGAATTTTACAGTCATGGAATTAGTAAGCTTGTTAATAGATGGAAGGAAGTCATAGATAATCAGGGAAAATACATTGTTGATTGAATCTGTAATTAAATGTAACATTTGGTCATTTGTTTTCTTTATTCAAAATCCGGACAGAACTTATGGGATGACCTGATAATTACATCGGTCACACTACTATAGGCCTATCGTCTGGATAGGTATGTAGTAGTGTGACCTACGCATCCTAGTAAAACCAACTGTACTTTATACCTGTTTGCACTTCTCTCCAAAATTTGTTTTCTATCGATCATTGTATGGCTATTTTAGAGGATATGACGGAGGGATTGACTAATCGAAGTCACAGAATTTTATATATAGAGTCTTATTGCAAGTGAATCAGTTTATTGAAGCATGTTTAATGACTGCCACAAGATAAATTGCTCATTGGCTACGAAAATAAATCTGGTACAAGAGCATTTTCTGAGTTCTCAGTAAAAAAAAAAAGGATGTAGGATTTTTTCTATTCATTTTGGCGGGTAAGAAGAATAATTATTTGCCAGAAGTTGTGTAAATATCACAAGTCTAAAACAAATAATGAACCCGGCAAGTTACAAAAACTGGAATGTGGTTGTGAAAAAAATCTCATAAAGAAATTTAAATTAACTTTTTTCCCCTCGAGTATTTTGGTGCACTGCTTACATTTGCACGTATAGAAATTACACACACACACACACACACACACACATATATATATATATATATATATATATATATATATGCGTGTTCGTAGAATGTAGAATAATATCCGAAACAAAATGTGGAGATGATGGGACAAAGCAAAAAAGCCTATCAACGACGCGTTTTCGCAAACATGTGTTAGGTTCGGCGTCTTCAGATTGAAACAAAAGACAAAACATTGTGAGAAAAATACATTGGTATTTCTGAGGATAAGAGTAACAATAAATTAAATTACCTTATCAGATCCGACAACCAAATAGCAGAAAGTTTTTACACACACACACACACACACACACACACACACACACACACATATATATATATATATATATATATATATATATATATATATGTGTGTGTGTGTGTGTGTGTGTGTGTGTCTGTGTGTGTCTGTGTGTGTGTGTGTCTGTCTGAATGTTCTGTCTGACCGAGCGCTTTCGGATTTTTTTTATTGTACGTTTCAAACGTCGTATAATGGCTTTAGTTTCGAGGGAAATCCTACAACCACACGACTAAATCCTCTATAAAAAACAATGTAGTTCAGAGATTTTATCTCTTATACTAATAAGAAACCCACTACAAACATTGGTTTTACCTGTTACCTTTCTGATCTTAGTTCCATTAAACACAATTTTTACAAAAACATAGCCAGGTACATAATTTTAGACAGATATTACACGTACTTACACATACAAACAGTAAAAAGAACCTTAAGATGTTGGAGGTAGTCAACTAAAAACAACCCACACTCAACAAAATTACATTTTAAACCAGTCACAACATATTACAATGCATTTAAACATATGGTTCCGTTGATAACATTTCTATCGCTCACTTAGTTCTATACGATGTCATAGAACCGCATTACGAATTTATGACCTGTGTCTGCTATTCCATGATTGTTATCGTCACATAGCAAACTTCGATTTAAACAAAACAGTATGTCATCTTTGACGCTGAACATCTCTGTTGTAATGTCCATATAACCACTCTGATGATGGCTCATGTCAGCCGAAAGCTTAGATCGTCGACCAATATAATAAAGAAATATCCATCTATTGGACAGTTTTTTTTTCTTTATTTTCTTTTGAAATAATGCCATATACGACGCTTGGAAAGGCTCATGATAAAATATAATAGACATTTAAAAATATATATTTGAATAATAATCTGCTGCCCTTGTACACTATATATATATATATATATAGCTGTTCTGTAATTCTTCAGTCTTCGATTTCAAAGGCTGCCAGTGAGTATTCGGAGAAAAAAACATGGCGGCCTATATACACGTGCCTTCTAATTGGTTAAGCCTTCTATTGGTGAAATATAAAATGGGTCAGCTAATTTTGGCTGGCTCACTAGTACTAGCTACCCAAAAATTCCAACATATTTAACCGCTGTGGAAGGTGTCAAATGTATGCCCTGTCTTCAAGAATGCGAGTGAGCACTCATTCACATCACAGATAGATCCATCAGCCTCCTCAGTGTCAAATTTTTTGAAGCTATAATCAACAAGAAAATTGATCGACAAACAGTACGGGTTTCGATCTTCTCGATACATTGCTGATATCCTAACTGTAATTATTCACAGAACAAGTGAGACACTAGACAACAAATACATTGCATTATATATTTCAAAGGCATCAGCATAAATATTCATGAATGATCGGATGATGATGCAACGGTATATGGGTGCACCTCCAAAACTCTAGATGACCACGGCTTGCCAGGTAATTTCTCCTCTGACCTGGCTTTAACAACTGAATGGCAGAAAAAATGGCTGATAACATTCAGTACCACGAAAATTCAAATTAGTAATGCTTCATCATCACTGGGCAGACCCAGAATTTTCACCGATCGCGAAAAACAGGTGTTTCCTTAGGGAGGCCCCGTGCCATGAGTGCCTGTAGGGAGTTGAACTGAATCCAGACCCCAAGAACTCGTACATACTCACTCAAGACGCTCGAAAAATGTTCGATTCCCTATACCGCTCCAGTACGCACCTGACACCTCCTGTTGGCCTCTAACTTTACAAGGGCCGGATCAGGCCGAAAATGGAGTACTGATGCTGCCATATAGGGTCGAGAACTACCCAGTCTTCAATTTTCCAGTCTCGATAGAATCCAAAAGCGTCTCCGAGTCCTTGTTGGCGACAAGTTATTTTCCACCCTACAACACCTTTCTCACAGACGAAATGCCGCAAGCCTCTCGCTTTTCTATCTTTATTTCCATGGAAAGTGGGCATTCTACATTCCTTCGTTCCACCAGTCCTAACCTAAATAGCAAAGTCCTCTCAGACTACACACGTTGTAATGAACCATTGTCATTCCCTACGTATTCCACTGAGGAGATGTAAGTTCCACGCGAGCAGCTTCTTCCCACTAAATGCAGATTTGTGGAACCGACTCCCAAGAGGATGCTTCCCCGATCACTACAATCTTAATTTGTTCAAGCTTAGGATAAGTCGTTATCTTCCCTACATATCTGCATAAACTGTGCCTCTTACTCTGTAACTCTCTACCTCGAGTGACTCTTGGGCCTTGTACAGGGTGAATATCACTGAAAAAATATAGAAAAACAAGCATTAAGAGACTCTGATAGATAGATAGATAGATAGATAGATAGATAGATAGATAGATAGATAGATAGACGTAAGTTCCACGCGAGCAGCTTCTTCTCACTAAGTGCAGATTTGTGGAACCGACTCTCAAGAGGATGCTTCCCCGATCACTACAATCTTAATTTAGATAGGATAAATCGTTATCTTCCCTACATATCCGCATAAACTGTGCCTCTTGTACAGGGTGAATATCACTGTAAAAATTAGAAAAAACAGGTTTTAATAGACTCTACCAGATAAATAGATCAACAGGCATTGAGACTTGACTAGGTAGATAGATAGATAGATAGATAGATAGATAGATAGATAGATGAAGAGACATCGATACATTCTGATTTTTTACAATTGGTGATTAGTAGTTCAGCTAATAGATAGATAGATAGATAGATAGATAGATAGATAGATAGATAGATAGATAGATAGATCTTTTATGGCAGCATAAAATACAGTAGTAATTATTTCGGGAAACACTGGCTCAAGGTCGCTCACTGAGAAAGAGAAACTTTTTTTTCTTTCGTGTCTTGTTAACGATGGTACACAAAGTGTCCCCCCCCCCATTTTGTTAAATAATTCAATCAATTTCGTCTTCAATAAAATGCTTCCACGTTTCCCTTTGTATAGTTTCGCTCGTTGTCCACTTGAGACCGGACATGAGTTAGGCCTCGAGCAAGTGTAATTAATTTTAATGCCTATATGTCACAGTTACTTCCCTTGTTATTACTCAATTCCCTTTCAACGAAGCCGAGTTTCAATTGAAATCTAATATAGTCTTTATTAAAGGAATGGATGTAGAGTTTTGATCGTGGCTCTGTGTGTTCCTTTTCATTGTAATCATGTAAGGTGTTGCACCATTAACTAATGCAAAGAGCTTATTATTCTTGTCCCAATCAACATACAAGGTTTGTAAATATATTTGTAAATATAGAAAGAAATGTCACTAGCTAAGGCTTAGCGAGGTCATTAGCCAGACTATTAATACTGTTTTGTTTTTTTATAATGATATTCACCCTGTACAAGGTCCAAGAGCTACTCGAAGTAAAGATTTACAGAGTAATAGGCACAGTTTCTGGGAATACGTGGGGAAGATAACGGTTTATTCTAGACTTGAATGGGATAAGATTGTAGTGATCGGAGAAGCATCCTCTTGGGAGTCGGTTACTGTATCATGTGTTCGATTCTTGTTGGATTTCTCTCTCTTTCCAGGCCAATTAAAACTTATTAAATACTATACGTAACGGCGACTTTACTGTTAAAAAGAAAAAAAAGTGAAAGCAACAAAACAGCAAATGGTAATAAGACATAAGTAAGTGTTTTTATTTCCCGTGTTTTACAAGGTTTGATCATTTATTCGTTCATATATGAGTTGTAGGAGACTGATAGTTCATTCAAGCTAGTAGTCGAGATAGACACGTGGAGAAAATCAACGCGCATAATTCGTATAATATTTCTCCTATGAGTCTATATGACTTGTAGGAGAAATATGACACGAATTATTGCATTGGAGTAATCGAGAGTTAGTCTCTGCTGCTACCGCTGGTTCCGTCGTTGACCAAAAGCATCGCTGTTTATAGAAACGTACTGGTGTCGCTTGTTGGTAGTCTCGTTAAGCTCGCTTGCCATGGTGTCCGTCGCTAATGTGTGCCTAGTTGGATCTACCTTCCTCGGTGAAATCAGCGTTGGCTTTATAGTGGCTCAGTAAAGGCTGCCACGAAAAACCACATGGACCTATTCTATTTCGTCAGAAAAGATGATTTATGATCCTAGTAATTGGGGACTCTCGGGCCCCAACGCCATTTCATGGACTGTATCAATGGTTTCTTTTTCTCATTTATTTTATTATACGAGGTTTCATCGATACGTGGTAGCATCGATTCTAGAAGTTAATAGTAGCAAGAACTTCAAGAGTACTCATGTCCACTCGTTGGCTTTATCACTCCGCCACGTGTGGCCTTATCCTGTCTATGTATTCTGGGTGCTTTCCGCACCCATATTCCAGAGACAAAATATTTGCTATTCTCTGGCGACTTCGCGCCGTTTTGGTCTTACAGCCAAAACTTTGACAAAGGCAATCCATCACTGTCATATTCCACACCCACGAGTTATTCTAACCAATCGCTCGTCATCTTGACCCAGCCTGTGTATTCTGTAACATAAGGATAAGTCTATTTCTACTATCAACTTGTGAAATAGTAGGGCAGTTTTGTCCCTTCAATCTTGGCAGGGCAACAAGTCTGAAGGAAAGACAAGTTTGAATTCTAAACCAGCCTAGGGAAAGAAATACTACCCTAGACACACCCATTGCTGCTGCTGCTTCTGCTAAAGATGTAGTGTCAACTACCTTACAATGGGTAACGGGATGACTTCATGCATGCAAGCACAGATTTGTAGAAAGTTTACGAATAAATCACATTGAAATCATCGTTTCTTGTCTAATAATCAAAGTCAACCAACTTCTCTTTTAATGGCTTTCGAGAATCTTTTTTTTTTTTTTTTTTGCCTTCCATCATCATTGCTGATGCTAACCTCCAGGAGAATGAATCATTAAACCTTCTCGGGTAGCTAACGTTTTTCGCTGACTTGATCGAGGAACGATTGTACTAAATCAATTGCCAGGTCTGCTGCTAGAAAAATTAGTTCAGTTTAACGTTCTAAACAATCCAAAGAAAAATGTTATCGGTTCTGACCTGGTATCTCAATTTCAGACACTTTCCCACCGCCGTAACATAGCTTCCCTCTGCCTTTTCTATACATATTTTCATGATAATTATTCTGATGAGCTTTTCGTTTGGTACCCCGACTTGAATATAAGAGCAGCTCATCATTTTACAGTTGAAATGGTTAGATGTAACCATAAGTGCTTTGCTAATAATTTCTTCTCGCACTTTCCGCTTGTGGAACTCTTTTCTGGTTGCTTGCTTTCCAGTTAACTTTTATCTTCAAAATTTTAAATGCATTTTAATTTTTCTCTACTTGAATCCTGTTCTTTTATTACCCTTTCTCTATAATAATGTTTTGTTTTTTTCCACGCGCAGTAAACCCTTTTGTCTTAGTGGATTTTTATTGTCTTGTTTGGGGTGAAATGATTAAAAAAAAAAAAAAAAAACAGACTTAATCAGTATTTTAATGGATGGCGTTCTGCTTCGTAAGCTTAGGAAATAAAAGAAAACGGACGATGTTTTTACATAAAAAAATTGTGTTTGTTTTTATCGATATAAAGCGAATGAGAATTCACAGCTTAAATTTTCGCATAAATTAATCATTCTTTATCCTACAATACACAACGAAAACTTCCTAATAAATTAAGCTAAGCAGATAACGTCAACCTTAGTGAGCATCAAAGTATGTAACATTTTAAAAAGTATCTTGATAAATTGTTAATTGTACGTGTAATTAATATTAAAATACTCAGATTTTCCATTACTTTTACTGTAGCATTCATTTGAGTGAATATCTTAGAGTGGTTGAAGATAGGACAGGGTACGACAGGTCAGGTCGGAAATCTAAGAATATATTTCAGTTCTATTGTTATTGTCAGTTTACTTCATTTTTGTTTGGCCATTTGTTTCTCGTTCTGTTCCCATCCACGAACTTACGCTGCGCAATGTCGCAATTATTAACATAATTATTGAAAAGAAAGGGAAGAATAATGAGAAACAGTGAGGACAAGGAGGAGGAACAAGAAGAAGAAGAAAGGAAGAGGAAGATACGATAGCTTTAGAGAAGAAGAAGAAGAAGAAGAAGAAGAAGAAGAAGAATGAAATTCTATTGAAGGAAAATAAAAAATAAAAAGAATAATAATTTTATTCTGAAGGCGAAAAAGGCAAACAAAAATTTAAACAACAAAAAACAATGAATAAGAAGAAAAAATCTCGAAAAGAAAGACTTTAAACGAAAAAGTAGGAAGAGTTTTTTTTCTGAAGAAGGAAAAAAAGAAGAAAGTGAATAAGATATAGCTGAGAAGAAAAGAAGGACAATTTGTGAGCAAAAAAGAATGAAGAAGGAAAAGGATAAAAGAAAAAAGAAAAGAAAAGCGTGAATCTGAGGAAGGAAAGAAAAGAAAAGAAATCGGAAGAAGAAATAAAATTAGCTCAACTAATAAAAAGAAGAAAGAAGAAAAACAAAAAAGAAAAGAAAAGAAAAAACTGAAGAAGAAAAGAAAACGGGAAATCTGAAGAAGAAAAGGAAAAGGAAAAGAAAAGAAGAAAGCAAAAGAAAAAGAAGAAAACAGAGGGAATCTTAAGAAAAAAAAAGAAGAAAATAATCTGTAAAATAAATAAAGGAATTTGAAAATAGCTGAAGAAAATAAAAGGTGAAAAAGATTTACCTAAAAAAACATGCACATATTGAGAGGGAGAGAGAGAGAGAGAGAGAGAGAGCGAGCGAGCGATAGAGATATCCTCGGTTTGTCCTTGTACAGCACGAGCTGCTTATTTCTCATCAGTGCCAATGATCGGTTCGAACCCTGATAAAACCAGGATTTCAGATAATGATTTTCAAAGGAATGATAAAATTTCTTTACCAACAATGCTGGTGCAATACACTCTTCTAAATTTGCTTACTTCATTTGATTATACTAAAAAAAAAAAAAAAGGTTTTTTAATTCGTTTATAAAACAAAGCGTTCATAATATCAAACCGAAGGGAGAAAATTTTTTTTTTTTTTTAACAATAGTCCACTCAACATTAACGCATTGAATCATTGTCCTTTTTAACAAATTAATTCGTATGTGATCGTTTAGTTTAGTTTGAAGAGCCTCTCCCATTTATCCAGATAAAATATTGCAGGAGGCCTAAGACAGCTGGTTCTGAACACAAACGAAATTTATTAAATAATGGAATCTTTTATATTTCAAAGTTGAGCTGCATCTGTTTAAAAGTATTTGGGCAAATCGTATTCCTTTCTCTTCATTGATTCTCGAATTTTATTAAAAATCAACTTACAAGGTTCTTCTTCTTCTTCTTCTTCTTCTTCTTCTTCTTCTTCTTTGTGCTGTGTCCCTTCAGGACGTTGGAGTTCATGAATCTCCACAACTTTCTGTCCTTTGTAACTCTTAGTAAAGTTTTCTTTTTCTTTTTAATAGCTCGCCTAATCCCTATTTTGCCAACCATTTATACAAGCTTGTTCTTCTATACAACATGTCCGTTCAGGATATAAGCAATCATGGCTCTCCACAATTTCCTGTCCTTTTCCTAATCCTTGTTCTGCTAATAATTTTTACAAGCTCGTTGGGTAGGTGTTTTCCTCTCTCTCTCTCTCTCTCTCTCTCTCTCTCTCTCTCTCTCTCTCTCTCTTTTCTTCAATATGTTCTGTGAGTGCTACATTTTCTAAACCCGCTTTTCTCATTATGCATCATAGAAATTTCAACTGTCTTTTTCAGATTCTAAATATAAGTGTCTTTTTTTGTTTCCCTTAAAACTTAAAACATCGTTTCTCACATGTCCAGTTCATGGTATACTCAGCATCCTTCTACAGAACCATATTTCTGTTGCCTCATGTCTCTTCATCTGTTGGGAGATTGTCCAGCATTTACTACCATATAGGAGTACCGGTATTACATAATTGTCCAGTACTCATTTTTTTTGCTTCTAACGAAATTTTCCTATTTTTTAATACTTTGCTTAACTTTTGGAAGGCATCGTTCGCTATTCCAATGTGCCTTCCGATTTCGGTGTGGCATTTTCCGTCATCTGTTAGATCACTTTCTCGATATTTAAAATTGTTGTACTTGCTTGATTTTGATAACCCCAGTTCATAGTTCGCATCTTGTGCTTTTCCTCTTGCTGACAACAATGCATCTTCTTGCAATTAATGTTTAGTCCTTTCTTCTCGCTTTCCTTTCCTACTTTCTTTCTGTTGTTCCTTTTGCTAAAGATGAAATAAGGAAAATGATGGAAAAGAATGTTGTTGCATCAAGGGCTTAGCTGTCTTGTAAATCATTAGAAATTGTGACTGTGTAAGGACTTGAACACTGACCATTATCGCTACCTGAGGAGCAAACAGCGATTTAAGCTACCAGTTAAGTCATCCAAGGCGATTTATTATGTACTAAGATTAAATGAGATAGACACAAGGCATAAATGGAAAAAATAGATGTAAGAAGATTGTGTTGCACCAATCTTGCAAGTAGGAAAACTATTATTAAAATGCTATGTCCCTTCAAGATGAAAGTAATAATGTCTCTCCACAGCATCCTTTTGTCGGAGTTACCTCCTCCTTCGATCCTTGAACCGGCAGAGGAACAGGTCATTTAGACCTTGACCTCTCATCCATGCTCCCTATACACTGTTAACCCGTGGGAGAGACTAGCAAATCCCAATTTTAGTTAGGTTATATTACAAACCTAGTTGTAATATACTGCTAGTCAATTTTAGGCCATAGTTCCCTTTAGCTAACGTCGCCGTATTTTATTATAGAGACTTTACGGTTAGCTTATCCAATTTTACTTGCTGGTCTCCCTTGTCACAAGACAGTGACTTCTCACTAAATCCAGAGGAGGACGGGTCGGCTACTGAAACGGTCGGATTCGCAGGAAATCCGCCCCCGGCCTTCGTTGGCCAGGGACGTCGATCACCGGGCTGTGTATTGAGCTACGCTCTCATTTTTTTTGTCTGCCAACTTGACGATAGTTGCAAACTTTCCTTTCTCTCTCTCTCTCTCCTTCGCCTACTGCTCCTGTTTGACTATCGGCATTCCGTCCCTACTGGCTGCCCGCACGTCGTCCTTAACCTTTCCCGTACACTATGTTAGTAATTAATACGGGAGGTTACTAATATCGGACTCGACCGGCAAACACGCAACGCCTGCACCGGACCTGTGACATGCCCGAACACGTCAACGACCAACAAGTGGCATCCCGGCCGAAACCAACATCAACTTCAACAACCAACAGCGATGATCCTGGCAACAAACCACATCAGCACGAACTACAACAACACGTTGGCAACACGAACTACAACAACAAGTTGGCAACCCGACAACAATCAACTTCAACAACCGACAGCGATCATCCCGGCCAACATCAACTCCAACTGCAACAACCAACAGCGATCACCCCGGCAATGACCAGCTTCACCAACAGCGATCATCCCGGCAACAATCAACTTCGACAATCATCAGCGGTGATCCTGGCAACAACCCACATCAGCTTCAACCCCAACAACCAACAACGATGATCCTGGCAACTACCAACCTCGACCATCAATGCCTGCACTAGAACTTCTGTACCTCCACCGTTCCGACCATCTTTATTTCCTTTTCTTTTCTAGAATAAGCTTCCATATATCATACATATCCTCGTTCTGTCGTCCATGTTGTTTCACCGTCAGATTTAACGTCTTCAAAAATGCTAGCGGGCCTCTTGTGACCTCATTCACCCTTGTGTGATACGGGGCCGCTCAGGGGTGCCTGCTACACTTTCTTTACTATTTGGGAATTGCCATGATTTCTTGGGAAAGATAGTAGAGTTATTTCTCATTGTCTTCTTCACAGTTTTGAAATCAGAGTAGTCTTTCTGATCAAGGCTAGAGTGTCCCTGTAATTTAACCAATTTAACTTTATTATATATGTTCTTTAGGAAATAAGCAATCACGGCTTTCCACAGATTCTGTTTCTATATAATTTGTGAATTACCATGAATTCTAGAGAAATATATAGGGGAGTGGTTTACTGTTGCCTTCTCTACGGTTTTGAATTCTGAGTTGTCCTTCTCCTAGACTATGAGACAGTCAGGGCACGAGAGTTCAGTCTTCCTGCTTTTTAACTATTAGGTGGGAGCCTACATGTTTCGGAAATCAACATTTGAAATCACGACTTTTAACTTGGGCTCGAACACCGACAACCCTCAAGAAATACGTGATAAATTCAACGCAAGAAATGCTTTCTTGTTTACAAGCACTGATCAAAAGTATCAGGACATTGGATTCTGTCGAGCATCCACACTTAAATTATAATGTACTCGCTCACTTTCATTGTTTATAGGAGTACTTGGAAGGAAAGTGAGTAGCGTGTGGTCGTCTCATCCCACAACAGAGGTGTGGCTTATGCAGCAGTTTTTGACTAAAAAAAAACAATTCCCATGTCCAACAACCACCACATTCTTTACATTCCCCTTGCCATGCGTCTCTTCCCGCTTCAAAAACTAAATCCATTTGAAAGGGAAAAGATTTCAAGACGGTGAGGCAATACAAGAGAATACGACGAAGCAGCTGCTCGCTATCCCCAAAAAAGGAGTTCCAGGATTGCTTCAATCAATGAAAACGATGCTGGATAAAGTGTGTGGTTTCAGAATGAGACTACTAAGGAGATTAAATGCCGAATTTATAGATGTTGTAGTTTTCTTTCCAGTCTCGATACTTTCTGACCAAATTTCGGACTTGGTTATCTTGGAAAGAATTAATGAATAATTAAATTAATTAATGAATAGCATGAGTGTGTTACGCCAAACATCCAAATCGAAAAAGTCTACCAGCTTTTAAAAACAGCCTTAGAAATTCAAGCTTTTTAATAATAAAACGCTCTCCAGCTATGAGAGATTTCGTAACTCACATGACTTAAGATTTTCAGTCATTATTTGTTTTTACGGTCTAAAAAGTTCCCGTGAGTAAGCTAGGATGCTGAGGGGTGCGTATTTTTGTCAAGTCACCATCTCTATGCATTACCAAGTAAGGCTTAAGAGCTTTTATCAAGACATTAGCGCACGAATTCAGAATTGTCCATCTCTTAGACTATTTTCCAACAAAAACTAGAGAGATCAGTCTGCTCAGAAATTTTAATCCATCGGTAGGTATTTTTGAGAAAGTGGGCGTAACAAACTCGAACTCGGTCCGCCGATTTCGCTAACCGTTACACTACGCGAACATGCACGTGCTACTCGCACATCCACTTTTTATCTGGGCTCAAGTAGACTCTGGGGGAAATTCGTAACTTTTTCAGCTACGAGGCAAGTTATACATTGTTTTTACTTTCACCACATCAACCCAAGCGCTTTGAATGTTTTCATCACCGTTGGCCAATCCGTCTTGGAAACATTGACTACTATTATTTGCAAGCCAAGAATTCTTCTACCTTTTGCTAGGAAAAATGTTTTAAAGTAAGATATTAGATTTAAAACTTCTGAACTCCACCATGATGCCTAATAAATAAAAAAGTGCTGGTTCTTTGGAAGACGTGACTTTTATCCCTGGTTCAAATGACGTAGAAATATAGATTGGTTGGCTGGAGAAAAAGGTTAGCATCATAAAGTCGAATGTGTGGTTGCATTCTGAAATTCCTTGGGAAATCACCGATCGTGACAAGTAAAGGAATTAGAAGGGCATAGCACCATAGATCAATTTCATAGAATATAACTGAGAAGTAGCATAACCCACAACCACCACAAAATGTAGCCACTTTCTGGATGGATATTTCCAGACATAAGTATAATCAAGATGTTGACTTTAA